AAAGGTCACACGCGGCGTCCGGAAACTGCGCGAACGCGAGGCCGGGGAAGGCATGCAGATTGTACTGAGCAAGGGCGGCGAAGGACGTGCGAGTGTCAGCACGTTGCCGGTGAACGACAGCAGCTCGGAAATGGGCTATTATGGAGCAGGACGGAAGCTCGAGGACATCCAGAGCGTCGATTCGCACAGCTACCCACCAACAGACGCGCCTCCCCCTGTGCCGGCCTGGGCGAACGGTTCGGGAGCGCTCAACGCATACCAACAGTCGGTTCATGCACGTTCGTCTATCGGTGTAGTCGACTACAACAAGCGGGTCACTGGTCTTGCGCGCTGGGAACGGACGTTGTGGAAGAAGCTCGAGGTCGGCGATATCGTGCTTCTGCGCGAGAATGAGCAAGTTCCTGCGGACATCGTCGTTCTCTCGACCTCGGATCCTGACAACATGTGCTATCTCGAGACTAAGAACCTCGACGGCGAAACGAACCTCAAGCCGCGGAAGTCCGTCAAGGCCACGTCTTCGATCACGTCGGAAGAGGATATCGAGCGCGTCTCCTTCGTCCTCGATTCCGAGCCCCCACATGCGAACCTGTACCTCTATCATGGTGTCCTCCGATACAAAGACCCGTCCTCCGGCGAGCAGAAGCAAGAATCCGTCACCATCAACGAGCTCTTGCTACGCGGTTGCACTCTGCGAAACACGGCTTGGGTTATCGGGTTGGTCGTTTTCACTGGGGCGGACTCCAAGATCATGCTTAATGGCGGAGACACGCCCTCCAAACGGTCGAAGATCGAGAAGGAGACGAACTTCAACGTCGTCGTCAACTTTGTCGTCCTCATCATGATGTGTCTACTGTCTGGCATCCTGAGCGGCTATCTGGACGCGAAGAGTGACACGAGTGCGAGAGAGTATGAACAAGACGCGGATCCTACGAGCTCTTTTGTGCTGAACGGAATCATCACCTTCGTGTAAGTATTCACTATCTCGAGCGCAGAGTTAAGCTAATACGGCTTCCGGCCTAGGTCATCTCTGATTGCCTTCCAAAACATCGTGCCGATCTCACTGTACATCTCGATTGAGATCGTCAAGACCATCCAAGCCTACTTCATTTCTCAGGATATCGACATGTACTACAAGCCGTTCGACGCAGCCTGTGCCCCTAAGACGTGGAACATCTCAGACGACCTCGGTCAAATCGAGTATATCTTCTCCGATAAGACAGGTACTCTCACTCAGAACGTCATGGAGTTCCAGAAGTGCTCGGTGAACGGCGTCCCTTACGGCGAGGGGATCACGGAAGCCCAGCGTGGAGCTGCCAAGCGCGAGGGGAAGGAAGACGCTTTGGACCCGGAGGAGCAGGACATTCAGCTGCATATACTCAAACAACGCATGCTCGACAAGATGGCGCAGACGTTCAAGAATCGCTATGCACAACCCGACCGTCTTACCCTGGTGTCGCCGAAACTTGCCGACGACCTCGCCGATCGCAGTTCTCCACAACGCCAGCATCTCATCGACTTCTTCCGTGCCCTTGCTATCTGCCACAGTGTACTGTCCGAACGCTCCGACCCGAACCGGCCTCATTATCTGGAGTACAAGGCCGAGTCACCTGACGAGGCTGCTCTCGTGGCTGCCGCTCGGGACGTGGGCTTCCCGTTCGTCCATCGCGCGAAGGACGCCGTCGAAATCGAGGTGATGGGCCAGCCGGAGCGCTACATCCCTCTTCAACTGCTCGAGTTCAACAGCACGCGGAAGCGGATGAGTGTCATCGTTCGTAACCCGCAAGGCCAGATTGTCCTGTACTGCAAGGGCGCGGACAGCGTCATTTATCAACGTCTTGCTGCTGATCATGACCCTGAGTTGAAGGCAGCTACTGCGCGCGACATGGAGGCTTTCGCGAACGGCGGTCTTCGCACGCTTTGCATCGCGTATCGGTATCTCACCGAGCAAGAGTACGTCGAGTGGGTGCGAACTTACGAGGCGGCGACGAGTTCCATCAACGATCGCGATGAGGAGATTGAGAAGGCCAACGATCTTGTCGAGCATTCGCTGCGGATCTTGGGAGCGACTGCGCTGGAAGACAAGCTGCAGGAGGGTGTACCAGAAGCCATCGAAACCCTCCATAAAGCCGGCATCAAACTATGGATCTTGACAGGTACGTTAGCTCTCGTTAGCCGGCATGTCGTAATCGTACTAACACTGTCGGCCAGGCGACAAAGTCCAGACGGCTATCGAAATCGGTGAGCAGATTACGCGTGGAATCGCGTTAGTATTCTCAACATGTTCGTTTTGCGCAGGTTTCAGCTGCAATTTGTTGAAGAACGATATGGAAATCATGATCCTATCGGCGGATTCGCATGAAGCGACTCGTCTACAGATCGAAGGTGGACTCAACAAGATCGCGTCTGTACTAGGGCCACCATCTGTCAACGGGAAACAACGCGGATTTGTACCCGGCGCCCAAGCTGCCTTCGCTGTCGTCATTGACGGTGACACGTTACGACACGCGCTGAACCCCGACCTGAAGGAGCTGTTCCTGACGCTGTCGACTCAATGCGAGACGGTCGTCTGCTGTCGAGTATCCCCTGCACAGAAGGCCATGGTCGTTAAGCTGGTATGTGACGTGGGATAGCACATGTCTTCGCGAAATTAATTGATCTGGCATTCTAGGTCAAGGATGGACGGAATGCCATGACGCTCTCCATCGGTGACGGTGCCAACGATGTCGCCATGATCCAGGAAGCGAACATTGGCTGTGGTTTGTTAGGCCACGAGGGTTCACAAGCAGCCATGTCGGCAGATTACGCTTTCGGGCAGTTCCGGTTCCTGACGAAGCTGTTACTCGTCCATGGTCGATGGTCGTATCAGCGTGTCGCGGACATGCACGCAAACTTCTTCTACAAGGTACGCGCCGTGTTGTTCTGCGCGGCCAGATTTTCCTGCTGACATTCATTTATATAGAACGTCATCTGGACCTTCGCCATGTTCTGGTTCATGATATTCAACAGTTTCGACGCAACTTACCTGTACCAGTATACGTTCATCCTGTTGTACAACCTTGTCTTCACCTCTCTTCCCGTCATCGCACTTGGAGGTAAGATCCTTCGTGCCGCCTGCTACTGTGTGCTCATGTCTGTGGTTAGCCTTTGACCAGGACATCAACGCGAAAGCCGCCTTGGCCTTCCCTCAACTCTACATCCGTGGCATCCGCGGACTCGAATACACGCGGCTCAAGTTCTGGATGTACATGCTGGACGGTCTTTACCAGTCGGCTGTCGTCTTCTTTATCCCGTACTTGGTCTGGACGCTTGACATCGCCGTGTCATGGAATGGGAAGACGATCGAGTCGCTCGCTGACTTCGGTACGACAGTATCAGTGGCTGCCATCATCGCTGCCAACACATATGTCGGCATTAACACCCACTAGTGCGTCCTTGATTCCCGTCATGCGATATACAGTAGCTGAAACGGATGACGACAGCTGGACCGTTATTACTTGGGTCATTGTCATAGGCTCCTCCGTGGTTATGTTGCTTTGGATCGCGATCTACTCTGCCTTTGATAGCATCGACTTTGTCGACGAGGTTGTCATCCTCTTCGGTGAAATAACCTTCTGGGCATCGGTGTTAATCTCCGTGATCATCGCCCTCGGTACGTACAAGCAGTCACTCATGCGACAATATGTATTGACGCCACTTTCAGCTCCTCGGTTCGTGGTGAAGTTCTTCACGACCTCCTACATGCCACTAGACAAAGACATCGTCCGAGAAATGTGGGTGTTGGGAGATCTGAAGGATCGTCTCGGGATACCCCATAGGCGCGAGCGCAAGAAGGGTAAGCTCGAACAAACGCCTATGTTCCATCAACCTCATTGTCGGTCAGAGTCGGAGATTAGCCAGCATGAGGAAGACTATTCAACGCCACCTCTATCCCGCACTCCGATCACCGACGGTTCACCTCGTCCCACCGCACCTCTGATGGCTGGGGAGTCTCCTCGCCCAGAGAAGCTAGAAGAGGGCCTGTATGGCAGAGGATCACCGTCCCCCTCCGCACGAGCCCAACTGTCCGGTAGCCCCTCGCTGCAGAGACTTTCCTACTACTCAATCTCAGGGATCCCCGCGCCCTCGCCACTTCCTGAATCGAACCGATACCACTCTTATACCCGTGACTCCACCAGGACGACTTCATACCAAACCGAGCCACCCATGTCCGCCGTCTCGAACGCATCCATCGCCTACTCAGCTCCCTCTCCCGCACAGTCCCCTCCGCCGTCCGCCACCCTGCAAGTTCCCGGAGTCAGGTCACCGCGCGCCGTGTCACCGGCAACACCAGCAGAGCAGTTCGAGATGCGGGTGCGCACGCCTACCGAATGGCCGGCCTACGCTCATCAGCAGGAGCCGGTCCATACGCCTATGGCGACTGAAGACTCATACGCGACGGCCTACGACGGTGTCGAAGACGGGGAGCTCACACCGGGACCACACCACCAACAGGAGGAATCTTGGCGAAGTAGTACGTACTCGTACTCCGGGCCCCACGCGATTTAGCAGGACGCGCGCCCCCCTCGGCCTGCTCTCGCGTTTGACTATGTGTGACATTACGTGTGTTTGCTATGACTAGCGTGGATTATATGTACGGTTTCCCCCTGTCTGTGCGGGGTTGGGCTACGGTGGTTGGACTCTTCCTTTCGCTTTATTTATTGTTGCATGTATCGCACGCTGCTTTCGATCGTTTATTTTGACTCTCGATTCCTAGGACGTCGTCGCCCTCGGATCGATATCGAACGCCATGCGTACCGCTCGTTTCGCTCGTTTACTTCAGCTTTCACGCGGATGGTACTCTCTTAGGATCTTAGAAGTAGAACATCGGTAACTTGAATTATTGTGCATAATATAACGTTCACATCCGTGCAGCTCGAGAACAGTAGTGTCCATGGACTCCAGCAACCACTTATGGCGGCATACTTATTGTAATAGTGTAGGTACGCACCAAAAAAGTAACGCTGCCCCGGTGAGGCTCGAACTCACGACCTTCCGATGACCAGAAAGTAACAGTCGGACGCTGTAACCAACTCAGCCACGGGGCACACATGGGATTGGTACTATGTGCTGTGATTGCCAGACAAAGCATTACGTAGCATGAGGTTGGCGTGCGTCAGATCCACGCACGCACCTATTCAGCACAACGCAGCACCTGCAATCATCGAAGGATGCCAAAGGACTGACGGGTTGCCGCCGAGACAGACCGAGATTTTGCTAGCTGCAAGCTCTTATGTCATACGCCTTTCAATATTTTCATGAACCATCAGTGCCATAGTACAGCACGTCACGCTACCATACTCTCAGTTGCAAAGGGAGTGTCAGATTTGAGCTGAACAGTTGAGTACTTCCCTGCCGAACTGCATGATCTTTGTTTGCCGTTCCTTCAGGTCTTCAACAGACTCGTTCAATGTTTGCTGAGAACACCAAAATAACGCAACATTGGCAGACCCGATCAATAGCTGGTAGGATCCTGGTGCTATTTAGCTCTCAGCTGCTAGTTGGGCTCCAGATGGCGCCGCAAAAGGCTCTACTTGGACGGTAGACGCAAGGTACCGACCTAGAAACACTTATTTTAATTGAGGGCGCAAAGATAGACTCGGAGACATGCAACAATCACCGTCCAAAATGCAGTAGCCTTGCAGGGGCAACGCGGCCCATCGGTATCTTGCCGGTCCAAGTTTGCTAGTCATATTCGGAGTAGAGGTTCACAATTCGGAGAAGATAGACAGTCGAGGCATCGTCATTCGTAAGTTTTGTGCCTATTCGGAATCCGTCAATTCGGAGAACAGTGCACCATTCGGAATCGGATACGTGCTTGGTAGTATACATTGTTGTGCGTATGTCGACAGCCTTATGGGCCGCGGAATCTTACGTCGCGCAAGAGTTGAATGGTAAAGACAAGTTGAGGAGCTGAAGCTCAACAATATCCTATCCTCCGACTTGAAGAGCAGCACGCGCGCGGCGCGTCGCGCGGTGGACGAGGATATTTGAGTTCACGTGATCGTGTATAGAGATTCCCACGGGACGCGGGGAGGCTGCGGAGGTGGCGGCACAGCTGACCATGTCCATTCATCCCTCATCGTCATCCCATCTCCTGCTTCTGGTCGCAAGACCCCCACGCTCCTCCGCACCATTCTTCTTTCGGCCGGCAACAGGCCGGCCTCTCTCCGAGCGCGAACAAACAGCATACCTGCAATAGGCTCAAGCAAGAGTCGCGAGAGCATAGGCGATTCCGCAAGGTCGCCGACACGATCTGCGCTATGTCTGATCAACATTCACGCTCGCGGCGTACACAACGCGTCCACAAACCGCGGCGAGGCGGGGCCCCGTGGGGTACGCGCAGTACGTAGATTCGGAAACGGCCAACGACACGCGATCGAAGAAGGTGTGCGGGACGCGTTTCCGCACCGTCAGGTGACGGGAGGACAGGTAAGGAGAGCCCCCTGAAGGCCTTCTTGGGCTTCCGCGCGCCGCCTCTTCCCTCGCCTCGTCCTCAACAGGCTCCAGGGCCCGTGCCGACTCCCGCTCGCTGCCTATATTCTCTCACCCATCGGTGCAGATCGGCCTCGCGCCTTCCGGTCGTGCCCCTAAATACCCCCAGATATTCCGGGTGCTCGCATACCACACCTCCAACACGCACGCCTCGCCTCTTCCTCGACCACAACCACCACCACCGTCTCCGCCATCGCCCGCTAGACGAGACGTGCCGTGCGTGTGTAGACTCGACCGTCAGACCTCCGCCTAGACGATATAGGAGATACCGTGTTCGATCGCTCCCAGCTAGACAGGATACCCCGTTACCCTGCCTGACCCCCGCACCAACATGTCTAAGACGATAGAACAGTCCACCGCGGCGCTGCCCGTGAACGTTGTGGAGACCGCTGTGGCGGCCCCTGCACCTAAGAAGAAGAAGCCGTATCCGTTCTGGCTCGGTGGTATGTCCCGTCATGCTAGCGTGTACTGTGCACCTGTTCATGGCGCCGCTCACGCCATCCGTTGCGCCCGAACAGGCCTTGCTGCAACGATCGCCGCATCCATAACACAGTGAGTACGCACGCACGCCGTGATCGATCAGGCGAAACTCTGCACGGGAGAGAGATGGCTCACGCTCGTGTGCGCGGCACTACACAGCCCGCTCGACTTGACCAAGGTCCGTCTGCAGGCAACGGGCGACACGCGCATGATCCAGTCCATACGGAAGACCGTACGCACCGCGGGCGTGCTGGGCCTCTTTGATGGCATCTCCGGTACCTGGCTGAGGCAAATGACGTACTCCGTCTGCCGGTTCTGGGCGTACGACGAGAGCAAGAAGCTCATTGGCGCCAGTAAGGCTATTCTGTGACCGCGCCGAGGCGCAGTTCACGCGAGGTGTGTTGACGGGACGCGTTGCAGACGAGAAGAGTCCGGCTTGGAAGCTCGCCCTTGCGGGCAGTATGGGTGAGTGGAAGACACACGGGGAGCCACAGGCTGCCTGAGAGGCATGGATGCTTATGAGCGGTTCCAGCTGGTGGTATCGCGGGCTTCGTCGGGAACCCTGGAGGTAAGCTGCCCAACTGCTGTCGTTCCATCTGCCCATGGAAGCGCACGCGCGCCTCCTCTAACTCTATTGCGTGAACGCTCTAGAAATCGTCATGGTGCGCATGCAGGGCGACTTCGCCAAGCCGCCCGAGAAGCGGCTTAATTACAAGCACAGTATCGACGCGCTGTTCAGGGTGCGTTCTAGACTTTGGCTGCGGGCTCCATTGCTCGCCGCTCCCAGGCTGAGTGCACTGACACATGCTTCTGTGGTTGCGGGCGCGTAGATGGTGCGGGAGGAAGGCTGGTCTTCCTTGGGACGCGGTGTCGGCCCCAACGTGTTCCGTGCGGTCCTGATGAACGCGAGTCAGCTCGCCTCGTACGTCGCTATTTATTCGCCATGATTGCCGTTTTGCTCATTGTCCCGGGGAATTGTTGCAGGTACGATTTCTTCAAGGCGGAGCTGCTGAGGAGGCAGATCTTTGAAGACAACATCTACTGCCACACTGCTGCCAGTTTCGCTGCGGTAAGCATCTTAATGGGATAGCGTCGAGACACCGATTCACGTGCATTCTCAGGGTACTGTCGCCACCACCGTCTGCTCTCCGGCCGATGTGCTGAAGGTACGTCATGATACGTACGTCTCCTATGTGTTCGCTCATCATGTTACAACAGAGCCGCATCATGAGCGCGGCGGGTTCAGAGAGCAAGTCAGCGCTGCAGATGATCCGGATGTCGATGAAGAACGAGGGCCCGATGTTCATGTTCAAGGGCTGGGTGCCGGCGTGGATGCGTCTGCAGCCCACGACGATCCTCATCTTCATCACGTTCGAGCAGCTCAAACGGTTCGTCGACTGGACGCGCGGGGACCTCTGAGCTCCTCTTACCCTAGCGTCGTTCCTCGGCCGCGCGCCCGTCATACCGCGCCTTCCATCGACCTCCACACATTCTTTGCGTACGGCCATCTCTCCGGCGCGCTCTCACGACCGTCACTCGATATTCAAACCGCGGCCTTCTACGACTTCATTTCGCCGAGCTCATAATGCATGAGCCTCGGCCCCTATATCGCATGTTGTTTGTTGCCTTGTACGTTGCAGTGCTGTACCATCACGCTTTCCCATGTACGATCCTCCCCACCATTGCGCCGCGGCAGTAGGACGCCCGCGGTGTGTATACCGATGTATTGACTGTACGATCCGTGTACGACTGCTATCGCCTATCGCGTGAGAGAAGGACGCGTGCAGCAAGAGACATGTCGTGCTTGTGTGTATCCGGCCGTGCTATTGTCATCCGAGCCTCCAGCTGATTCCTGATTCCTGCTGATCGCTGGGAAAGCGTCCGAGGAGTTTAGGTTGCCGTACTGCAAGTAGGTGGTGGGCGTTCGCGTGCCTGCTCTCCCGGTTTTGCCCTGCGCGATGAGACGCCTGGGAGGATGGGATCGCGCACGGCGGTCCGGCGGCACTTGTGACCAGGCCGCGCAGGGAGGCGTTTTGGGTCCGTGACGCGGCTGCACCCGACGCGGGGCTTCTTGTGGTGGTGGATTAGTGAGCACGTACACCCTGGGACGCTGACCACTTGGCCAAGGCGTCCGCGTCACGCACGGGAGCTGCAGTTCAATGGGAGCGAAGGTCCGCGGGGTTTGTGGTAGTTGGAACTTGGAGGTGGACGAGGAGGTGGTTCGCGCGGCGGGTCTAGATTGGGGCTGAAACGGGCGCGTCGGGATTGGAGCGCGATCGCGCGTCCCGCCCCCGACGTTCGCGGAGATACTCCTTTCTTCTGAGTTCATCTGAGTCCATCGGGGCACTTTGCCTGCAGTGCATAATGAAGGTCGGAGTGTGGCGGAGGAATGGCTGGAAGCGAAAATCGAGTGGAATTAGTCATTGGCGGGGTCCCGTGAATATTATTGATGGGATTAATGGGAAGCTGCGCCCCGCAATCGAGAGCTTGATCCATCCAAGCCCAACGCAATTCCAAGCCAGTGACTCCTCCGCCTTTCGCTCTTTCGCTCTTCCACCCATCCTCCTCCTCGTCCCTAACCCCTCCCCACTCTCACTCTCACTCGCGCCGCTCGGTCCCGTCCCGCCTTCTTCGGCCGCTCGGTCTTCCGCTCCCTTGCGCCTGGCGGAACACAAACAAATATACTTTCAGTTCATGCTTGTCCACTCCGACCATGTCTTCCGATGACCAGCAGCAGCAGGGATCGTCTTCCCAGCCACAACCCCAGTCTCCAGACCCCAGCCAACAGCAGCCCTCCTCTGCACTTTCCGAGCAGAAGCCGTCCGCTTCGGCGTCGATCCTAAAGGAACGCCGTTTCAAGCTAAGCAGGTGCGTTTGGTCCCTTACTCGGCCCTCGCGCGGATCTTTGAACGAGAATGTGCTGATGGCCTCATGTACGTCCGAAACATAGAGCTTGCGACCGGTGTCGGTGGGTATCACCCTAACCTTGACCGATGTGTGGTGGTTAACGAGTGTGTCTGGGTGCATGTAGACGGCGCAGAATCAAATGCGATGAAGGGCACCCTTGCCAATC